TAAAAAAAAAAAAAAGTAACGACATAAAGGTCAAGGTTGAACTTTCACTCAGGTGACAACATGCGCACCAATCCAATGAAAACTCCAACCACAAATCCATCATCAGTGGCTAAGACACCCTCAGCATACTCACGCCCTCTGGGAAACACCCAGACACTTCTAAGAAGCTGGTTGGAAAAACTGCTGTTGAAGATGAAATAAACACTCATGGTTCAATAGGAGCTGGAGAAAAAAAATCACCTTCCATTCACACACGTCTCGGTTAACACAGATCTAAAGGAGCCCCACATACTTTTCTCTAGGAGGTCTGCCCTGCTTAGAGAAAACGCTCAGGGCCACTCTTCTCTCAGACCAGACAGAATAACGTATCCCCAGCATCAAACTATAGCCAGGACAAAGGTGCAGAGGAAACAACACAACACTTCCAAGCTCATATTGATGTAAAAGTATCTGTAAGAAATCATACCCAGCACGGAAGTTTGTGATGATTTCCTTTTCAAAACGAAGCTTAACACTTACACTGCAAAATATGGGGAATGAAAAATCCATCAGATATGTCTACTTAGGAGTCCACCCACTGAGTAATAATCCCTGAATGTCGCCACTTCTATTTGTAAGTATCATATCGCAGCTCTAAACAGAATACTCACAAGAAAAGCGCCATTCACAAAGCAGCCCTGTGGTCTGTCTTTACCAGCCACAGTGACCTAAGTTTGCAGATCACTGTTTGCAGAGAATTCAGGACATACAGTCATGAACCAACAACCCCCAACCTCCACCACCAGAGTTGAAGGTGATTTTCTTTTTCTTTTTCTTTTAATCCTCACCTGAGGATATTTTTTCATTGCTTTTCAAGAGAGAGTGGAAGGGGGGAGAGGGGGGCGAAAGAGAGAGAGAGAGAGAGAGAGAGGGAGAGAGATGGAGAGAGAGAGGTGAGAGAGACACAGCGATTGGTTGCCTCCCGCACTTGCCCTGACTGGAGCCCGGGATCGAGCCTGAAACCAAGGTACAAGCCCTTGGCCGGAATCAAACCCAGGACCCTTCAGTGTGGGGGCCAACGCTCTACCCACTGAGCCAAACCAGCTAAGGCCCTCCTTCCTTTCTTCACAGCTACATGGGATGTATGTCATTTGCCCTTTATTTAAGTAAAAGACATCATCCAGTTTCACATCATTCACCCCAGAGGGTCATCAGTTCAGGAGCAAAAAGAACATAAGAGAAATTCAAATACTCATGGGTGGCAGGCCCAAGACACAACCGCAAGAAATTATAAAAGGTCGCCACATGAGTGACTGGTAGTTCAGACCAGCAGTGCAACTGGCAGGTAGTCTTATGAATACTCGGAAGATCAACACATGATTCTTTTTTTTTTATGATTTTTTAAAATATGTTTTTATTGATTTCAGAGAGAGGAAGGGAGCAGGAGAGAGAAACATCAGTGATGAGAGAGAACCATCGAATGGTTGCTTCCTGCACGCCCCCCACTAGGGATTGAGCCCACAACCCGGCATGTGCCCTGACCGGGAATCAAACTGTGGCCTCTCGGTTTATAGGTCAACGCTCAACCACTGAGCCGCACTGACCAGGCTCAGTGCATGATTCTTATAATCTCCTGTTTACGTAGTGGGGACCTGCATGACCTGCCCGTGGCCAGGTGCCTCTGAGCAGCTAGGATGTCCTTGAGTCAGTAGGAGGATGCTGCCCACCATAAGGCCCGTATCTTTTCCTATCTGCCCAAGTAGAGCAGACTTAAGGCTCGGGAAACCCCAGCCTGCAAACCCCCCAAGGAGTTGAGAAGACATTTCTGATGCAGGAGCAACTCTTTCTCTGCAGTAATCCAGCCACACACCCTACTGTCTCGTTCCTCTGTATCCCCTTACATTTTCTCTTGAGGGAATAATGTAGAGCCAGGGGTGGACCAATGAGACATCCTTAGAGGTAAGAGGGAATTAGTTGTGGTTTAAAAAACTATGAGTCAGCCCTCCTAGTTCACCTGACGGAACCCTGACTGCCAGGTGAAACAGCACAATGGGCATAAAATACTGGGGGCGGGGGGAACATCAACGGTCACACTGTCTGAAACCCAAGATCGTACGTACTGTGCGGGTGCAGTCGCCTCTCAGGGTTGTATAATTGTATAATTAATGTAATAAACACCGCTCTCTGTAACTTCACACTTCTTTTTTGGCTTATAGAAATGTTTTTCATACCCACAATCACACATCCTATTACCCGTTACCTTCCCACATTTGGGAAGGCGAGAGCAAATTTTCCACTTGGGAGAAAAAAAGGTGTTTGACTCCCACTTCACTTCTCAGTTATATAAAGTACAAAGAAATGTTTATGCTTGCAGGTATTCTTCATTTTTCCTCCCAATTCCTAAGTACCACTCTTTTAAAAATAGATCCTTTTGCTTCAAAACATCACAAAAATAAATCTCAATCTTCTCTTAAAAGATAACACAAAAAGATCTCAAAATCTGAGCTTCTCTTAGCCTCAACAGCTTGATTTACAAACAGAATTAGCTTTAGTTATTGTAACAATGTCTTTCATTTCATTTACACGCTGTAAAATATATCTTCAAAGGCACTAACAGTCTTCTAATTTAAAGCTAACCCCCATTTCAATAACCTATAATTCACTAACAACATTGTGCTTAATGTCAAAAGTCCTTTCACCCAAAGACATTGAAAATACCTGGGGGAAAAGGCTGGGCCTGCTGACAGAAAAGGAAACTGAAAGACCTCAAGTGTGTCACATGATCACTTTACTCCCTCCTATGACACAGACAAAACATTTCCCTTCCTATCAAAGCCTCTTAAAATTACAGAAAGCTATTTCATCCTTGTTGGCAAAAGTCAAAAGCTATCAAGTCAAAAGAAAACCTTAAGAAAAACCCTTACTCATACTTATGTTTTGCAATATAAAAGAAAAAAAAATCTGTTCATGGAGTTGGTCCCAATTTCCCACTAGAGAACGACAG